TAAGAATAGCCCTCCGTTTCAGGCTGGAAAAACTCTGGGTCTGAAAGACCCAGAAATAGGCTGAAACGGAGTAGGGCCTGCAGGCCCTCGTTTTTCAGTTTTCATGCTGAAACGACCGGGGCCTGTAGATCCTAAGTTTTAGTCTTTTTGGCTGAATGTCCAGGACGGGTCCTACAGGGCCCGTGTGGCTACGCAGTATGCCACAGGGGCCCTCCTGGGACCATGCTCCCATCAGTGTGAGGGCTTTGGAATGTGCTCTGACCATCCTGGGACCATTCCTGGGGCCATTCCTGGGACCATTCCTGGGATCTGCACCACTGACTGACTCAAGAGCGCATAGCTGAAGTGGATGGGACCCTTCACCTCCCGGGATGTAATCCGACATGCAAAGGCCTAAGTTTAAAATAAAGATAATACTAAGCTGAAGTGGATCGGGGAGGTAAAGGGACCAAGTGGGCCTGGTAGTTGGCTCGGGCCCTCCTGGGACCATGCTCCCATCAGTGTGACGGCTTCGGAATGTGCTCTGACCATCCTGGGACCATTCCTGGGACCATTCCTGGGACCTGCACCACTGACTGTCTCAGAGCGCATAGCTGAAGTGGACGGGACCCTTTACCTCCCGGGATGTAATTACCTACCCTACCCTGGAACGGACTGAACCGCACTCAGTCTATTTTCTTGTCCGACCCTGTGCGCTACCGGGACTTGTGCTTGGAACCGAACTCACCAAGTACTGGGCCCATCCCCAGACTCTTTGGAGCTGCGATCTGGACTTACGACTGAGTCTGCATGCAGGTCCCTTGCAGAAAATTTGATGTTTCACCTTATGATATTAAGTTTTTAACCCTCGCACATTTAAGGTGAGGAGATTGTGCTGTAGAGCTTTGGTTCTCCTTTTCTGGATGGATGCCGTCTTCCGCCAAACACAATGCCCCCTCATTTTGGCTGTACCTGAGCGGAAATGTAGGTTGTTTACATTGATGATCCGTGTGCGTTATGTTTGGCGGAAGACGGTAGGTAGCAGTAGAGACAGTGCGGAGAATATGAAACAGACTAGCGCAATGGCATTTGTCTTCTTTGCGAAGAATTCATTCGTTGGGCGAATCCAGTCGTCGGCTGCATTTGTCTGGTGTTGGTTCTGTGAATTGACTCTGTGGTATGCGTGCATGGGTACGGGTGAACTCCACCGACCCATGTCCTCCTCCCCTTGTTGACAGCCGGATTGAGAAATTTTGCACCCCCGAGGTCTGTGTGATGCATGTGTCTTTTTCTGAATCCGCTTTTCCGATTGTGTGCTGTGCTACGGCTGTGTCGGCTGATGATTCCTCTTTTTCTATTTGCTGATTTTGCTCCCAAAACTAAACAGATCAAGAGAAAACTCAGCGGAGCTCTCGAGCGGCTGGACGACAAAAGGTCCGAGCTGGTGGACACCGTTAAGCAGCGTGTAGGGAATGCTGCCAAGGCCACAGGCCAGCGGGTAAGCGACGCTCGAAAGGCTGCTGGCGAGGCAGTGCGTGGCACTGTGCAATCCGTCGGATCGGCGGTATCTGATGCTCAGCACAAGCTCGCGGACAAAACCAAGAGGATTGCGGGTGAGTGGAAAGACGGAGCCAGCAAGTTGGCAGGTCGACTCAAGGGCGCCTAAACACGCAGAGTCAGTGTGCGATGGCCACAACTGCAAGAAGCGTTGTGGACGATGGACAGCTATGAAGGTAGAGGAAGAAGGGAGGGTAAGTGGAGGGGAGGATGGGGAAGGAGCTGGTGGGGGCTGGGGCGGTGAGAGAGAGAGAGAGAGAGAGAGAGAGAGAGAGAGAGAGAGAGAGAGAGAGAGAGAGAGAGAGAGAGAGAGAGAGAGTGGGTCTTTGTAAATGGCCACTTTGATGGCCAGGGACTGGTGAGAAGTCCCTTGGATATCTGATTTGTGTTTTTTTCTGTTGTGTTTGTGAGGTCTGCAGTAGGCATCTATCGATTCTCAAAATTCTTGGGAGAATCGATGAATATGCCCGCCCAACGAGGTGAGGATTCTTTTTTTGCACTTGTTCTTCACTTGAGCAACCTGGAATTAGTGACCTTTTTTTTTTGTTTTTCCTGTTTTCCTTTGCACAATGCACATTCCTTGCGGGAGGTAAGGGCCGTCAATTTTCTTCGTTCTGTGCTCAAGTGTGGAAGTCCTACGCTCGATCGGATTGGGAATGTACGTAATACCATTCAACACTGGATATCAGGCATCTTTGATGGAGAGCATCTCATCTTGAGAAGTGATCACTGCCAAGAGCCTACTCACACTAGGACCTTCCTTTATGGATCTGGCCGCAATCACGACTGCCTACGAATGTTTCTGACCGCAATTACGGTCAGAGAGGATTCTAAAAAGTTCTCTGGTGTGAACACGACCTCGTTTATGATGGATTTTTTTTCGTTTTTCTTTTTCTGGAGGCGGGGAATGTGAAAGGCAGGATGGCAATCCTATTTGGAATTGGGTCGGAATCATTGGAGTGTTTTATCAGCTGGCAGGCTGGCGCAGAGTGGGGGCCTCGCTCCGCTACTCTCCACATGCACAAAAGACTAAAAAATATCGCGGTGTATCTTTCCATGCTCTAGCGCAACATTCAGTCTCATTTTGCTCATTCGGAGAGTAGTGGAGCGACGCCCAGTGTGTAGTCACTGGTCACCCAAGGAGCGTTTCGTGGAATGCATCTCGCTCCACTACTCTCCACATGCACAAAAGACAAAACTATTGTGGTGTATCACTGTATCTTTCCATGTTCTAGTGCAACGTTCAGTCTCATTTTGCTCATTCGGAGAGTAGTGGAGCCAGGCCCGGTGTGTACTCACTGGTCACTCAAGAAGCGTTCCATGGAATGCATCCCCGTTGCCTCGCTTGTTTCTGAAGCAAGGCCCAAATGACAGCATGACTTTACGGATGCTTATTCAAGCAGCTATAATTGTTCATTTCAGCTGGTGGTTGTACTGTGTATGTGGTCAGTATGATGGACTGCAGAGGGGTACACTGGCATCATAGGCATCAGAGGCAGGAAGCGGTGCCGGTGCTGCTGTGTGCTTTAATATGATTACTCTTGTTAACGACACAACGGGGTCATCGTTTAGATGCTGGTTTAAAACTGACACCAGGACTTTCCCGATGTAATATGAGCGCTTTCACAGCCAGGTACGGATGCACGTGACCAGAACGACGCCGACATGCATGCTGAAAAAGTTCTAGAGTAGGATGCCCTTGGGAAGCATTTGAATTTTTTGGAAGAATGGAGGGGAGGTTTGCAGTACGATTCGTCTGCTGAATCGCAGACGGATTTTTCGTTGGACTGTTGTTTTCTGCTTTGTTTTGGAGTCAAAAAAACTTTTGTTGTTGTTTCATTTGGACAAAAAAAACGACTCGCCTCATCTGCATGTGCGCTCATTCGCCATTATTGGCTTCTGCTGTGGTTGCCAAACCTCCCGCATGCATGCATGTACTTCTAAATCGTGATGTGATTCTCTCGAAGTTACGTGTCAAACCACCAGTACATGACCCCAGGCACAACTTGCAGAATCGCGATCGAGCATCGCTCTCGCCGGTGTCTCGGCAAAACTTGGTGTGAAGGACGCGGTTGGAGAGGTCTGCGGATTTAGGCTCGGATACATCCGCTGGTTTAAGCGGAGTGTTGTAGTCTTTTGTGAACACAACTTTTCTCCAGAGGAAGATGAGGGTTCAATTACTTGATGAGTGAGAGAAAGAGGATGCAAAATATTAATGGCTTCTGGAGAAGAG